TTTAGCTTATATGGTCTGTGATTAGGGAGAAGTAATGTATCTCCTACTGAAAATATATCCGTATACTACGAATATATGTTGGGTAGCGTGTCTTTGCCCTGATTATTACTATTATTCTTGTCTTTATTGATGATTGATAAGGACGTAAGATAGATTAGCGATGATCGGGTCTGCATGGTGAGGTTCTATGCCTCCTTACTAATAGTTACGACTTACTAGTATAATTTACTATAGTATTATTGGAATGTTAATGTCTCCTTCTAAAAATTGAGGATAGGGTTTAGGCGTCTAAGCTAAGGCATCCCTAGAATTATATTCTATTAGCTAATATTAGCCACGATAAATTTATTAGATATCTACTATTTTATTATCTTTAAGTTATGAACTTCGTAATTTATTATAGCTTTATCTAAAGTTCTAACTTTATATCCATTAACTATAATAGTTTAGCTAACTTTACCGAGATCGTATGATAATCTATACTCCTTTATAAGAATTAATAAAATATAGTTATCTTCTATACTAGTATCCACGAGGGTCTATATAGTTTTATTACTATTTACTATAGATAATAATACTTTTAGTAATATTAGGTCTTTACTCGCCGGAAGGCGCTACGGCTCCTTCTAAGTATATATAATTTAGCTAAGGACGCGGTTAGGTCTCGTGTACTAGCCTATTCTTTTTTCGGATTCTTATAGTTAGATAAAATATATTCTATTTCTCTATACTTATAGTAACGAAGTACGCTATAATTCTACTATTTTATAATAGGCGTTATATTTAAGTCTATATCTTATCCTTTTCTACGTTAAGAAGCACCGCCTCGATTATTTTAGTATCCTCTTAACGCGTTTCTACCCTAATTTACGCTCTTCTAGTACTAATCGCGGTAAGGTTACTCTTAATCAAACGTATTCGATTAATCTCGTTTCTAACCCGTATAGGGTTCGTCGGTTTTACCTAGAGAGCCGCGTTCCTTAAGGATATAGTAGTATTTATTAGCTTTCTCCTCTAATTCGTATAGATAGTTAAAACTTAATAATACTATTTCTAGTCTTTTACGGATTAACGGAAGTAGTACTTCGCGAAACTAGAATATATAAGTATTTTTCTATAGCGTAGGGATATTATTCTATAGGTTTTAGAGGTATTATAGTAGTTAAGTAGGTATCTAGTTCGGTCGTTATACTACGCTTCTTAACTTAGATAGTACCTTTCTTTCACGTTCTCTATCCGTTCTAAGGGTATTTAATATAAATATAGCTAAATATTCCTAGGTTATCATAGATAGTAGCTATACTTCCTTCTATCTATCCTATTAATCGCGG